TTCCACACAAATGCACTTAAAAGTGATAGGCTAGATACACCAGATATTTTTCTATAGGAGGTCAGTTCCAAGCAGCTGTCCACCAGTGGAAACATCATACTAGTTAGAGAATGGTCTCAATTTAGATATGCCTCTTCAGGCTGCCTTTCAGAAATGCTTCTTACTAGAATGGAAATCAACATAACACAAGACATGATCTAGAGTGTGCATAAATTAGGCCTTTCATCACTTTATGATCAAGATGCAATGTGTCTGGCTCAATGAATGTTTTGTAGAGATGAAAATATAACAGGTAAAAACTGTCTAAATTTATTTTTCATGTTTTCTATACCAAAATGACTTCCTCTACTGAAATATATATGAAAAATTTCACACAATACTGTTTATGTGGGAAAATATTCCCAATTCTTACAAGTAGAACTAATGTTTAAAATGTTTAATTTCATGTTTTATTAATACAAGAGTGGAACTTTGTCATTTCCTAAAGCATACTCAACCATGTCTAGTTCTGTATCCCATAAAGTTAGTATTTTTCCCAAAGTATATTATTAATTTTAAAATTGAAACATTTCTGCCTTAGTCCTGATATTTGATACTAAACATGAATTACTGAGTAGTCAATTATAGAATGCATTTTTGCTGCTGATGTTAATTAATTTTACCATTTTTAAAAATTTTTGGGATAAAGACAAGAGATAAGTGATGCTAAATTGCACTATATTACAATATTTAAATGTAGGTAGCAAAACTACATACAGAAGAATAACATTTTTGTGTAGTGATAATGTAATTTATAGTATTATTGCCTGTCATTTAATGAGATAAAAGGCCATTGGATATTGGTAAACATTTTATTGGAACAAAAATTTAACACATGAGATTTAATTATTTGATTCCAAAGCATTTTCTGGCTGTGTCATGTTACCAAGAAGATGCGCTAGTCCTTGAGATGATCACCTTAAGAAACTTAAGATACCCGGGCTGGAGGGATAGCTCAGCCGTCAAAGGCTAGGCTCACAACCAAAAATATAAGAAACTTAAGATACCCATCATTTTCTTCAAAAGAAAAAATGAAACATATCTTTAAGACATTTTAGATTTGGCTAATCTGCTCCTTGTCTTTAAGGCTGTCGAGAGACTTCACATTAATATAATGATAATGTGGCAGAGTCAGAATAAGACTCCTCTGTTTAATCCACTTTTGCTTTCAACTATTCTACTCTTTCACTTTGTAAGACATATACTTGTAAAAAATGAGTAGTTTTAATCACCTACTGAACGCAGATATTTTATATGAGATACAAACCTTCAGTGAAGGTGTGACTACGATGCTGTATACTGATATTCATCTGAGATAGCAAAGCAATGGCATTTACCTTAAATTTACGTCTCTGCACTGCACAGCGGTTGGAGAACCACAAGTCTGTCTCATGGCTGTAAATGTAACAAGAACAATAATGCGACCGGTTTTCAGATCTAAACTAAATTAAATAAATATGCCATAGGCTAGTTATTGATAATGTATTTTTACAAAGAAATTAAATTTCAGATTTTTGAAGTGTGCATGTGCATGAATGCTGTGTGTGGATGTGTGTGTTTATTCCTACTAACATAATGTTAGTTTCATGAAATGAAAAACAAAGCATTCAATAATTTTGTTGGATAAGTTTCCTCAGTATGGACCAATATAAGTATGTCATGTATAGGCAATGCTAATAGTAAAAACAAATAAACCACATGTAAAAGAGAGGCCATCTTCTTATGGTTAATCAGACTGTCTCCTTGGATATAGTAAATGTGCAAAGAAAAATTATGTGTTGATATTAAGTGAACATCAGCTGCCATGTGCATTGCAATATTTGAAAGTTATTTATCAATATCTTGTTAACTGATATACTTACTGCCTGGACATATTTAATTGGAGTATCATATAATGAATAGAATATGTAAACATATTTTAAATACAAATTTTCAGATACTTATAAGTATCTGAGGTCATGATTAAGAGTGGTAATGAAGCTGGTCAGGTATCATAGTTTTTATTTCCTTTTTCACTACACATACTAATAGCTATCCCATTTGCATCACAGAAATGGAAAAACGTCAATGAAAGGCAGCAGAATACAAATACTGCTCTGACAAAAAATGACTGTATCATGCCATATTTAAAATCTGGCCTCACTTTTTAAGCCATAAAGAAATTTGGATGAATGTTAAAAATGCAACTGTGTATTGTTCTTGTGACTCAAATCATCAAAGAATTGTTGTCAGATCTGTATTTTATTTCAAACTTTATAAAACATTGTCTTGAAAACTAAATTTTTAAATGATGGTAATAAAAAGGCATCTGTTTTGGTCCTTTAAGGCATTTTGCCTGACATGGCTGGAAGCTCTGTTACCTATGAGCATCAAATAGAATGCCTTGCAAGTGTTGCTCAGCTTTTTCAATTAACCATTAGAAACTTAAAATATAATGCATCTCAAGTATATGAAAAAGTTTTATTAAACTGTGAGTTGTTGGGAGAAAAAACAAGAGTATAAGAAAGTCATATAAGACACTGTAAAATATTAATTTCATATCACACGATTAAAAAATTCTAGCAAATACATCCAGTTTTAAAAACAAATACAATTCATGTTAATAATATTTGCAGAGGCCAAGATGAGCGTTGACTAATATCTCTGTTTAAAAATAGATGTATAAGCTAGTGTGGAACACAGCTACGTTTTGATTAGACTTACAATACAATTTCTTCATGTCTGCAACTGCTAGGCTTATCAAGTAGCATGAAATATTAAAATTTCAGTTTCACATTGTATTAATTACAGTGCATATTTTGGGGACAATGGAAGTCTTCATTAGTTCTAATTTCTCATTTGTAAAAACAACTTCTTGTTCTGTGACACGTTGTGTAATGATCCCATCACAGCCACACATGATACTAAAGCCCTGTAGTCTTATAATCTATACAGTGAAGCAGAGTCACATGCTCACGATCCACAAAATACAGGTGACACAAGAGAGGCTCCAGTATGGTTAGCAGCTGCAGCTGAGAAGGGGTATTCACGTTGATTTTTCTCAGTCTTTCATGCTAAACCAAGGAAACTAAGGATTTCTGCTCAGAACTGCCTGACATTAACAGTTGACACATGAACAAATTCCTACTTCAGAACCACTAGAATTACACTGTACATGTGAATAATTTAAGTTTAAAAAATTGTATGTATTTTAGTTAACAAGAGTATCAAATATTGACTTGTACTTTAACAACAACAGAAAAAAAAGAAAAAAACAAACAAACAAACTAGAGTCCAGCCGTGGGTTCCACAGACACCCTAACACGCGCACGAAAGATGCTTCTATTGACTAAGCTTTGAAGAGGAAGAGGCAACTATAAATCCTCTATGTTGTCGAGAAATATAAAATATAAATTAGGTAATAGTATTGTCTGCCTTTCAAAACAATTACTTCTTTCCAACCCTTGACTTACGTTGTCAACATCAAAATCATGTTTCTCCACACTAAAAAGAAAGTGAAGTTCCCACCCTGAGATATACCGGAGGTCTGTATTTCCTTTGCTGCCTTCTTTGACTTCTGCTGCATGGATTTTCACTGTTCTGTCAAGTCACAAAGAGTCTCATGGAGTCAGATAACTATGACAGTGTTACACTCATTGCTATAACTAAGACAGAGATATAGTTGATGACAGAAATGTCTTCCCCAAGATTCCTCATTAATTAAAAGAAAATACTATGGAATTCCTTTAAAGAGAAAATCTTGAAAAGAATCTTAAATTCTGGAAGCTTCCATGAACCTTTTTAATTTTCCAGTCATTACAGAGAGGTGGCTCTTAGACACTTGAGTTCCTTGTACTCTTTCTTATCTTTCTTCTCCTGCAACAAAGGACCTTGTTCCAAAGAATATGTGTTTTCATCTTAACTTTGTTTAGGGCCTATGAATTTTTTTTTGGTAATATAATTCTGGCTTATGTGGATCAGTAGTCTATAATTTTCTTTAATAGAAGCTAAGCTACAGAACACCATTATGTAAGAGTTAGATGCTAACCTCTGTGAATACATATAAATATTAACACAGTCAAAGCCACTAAGAAGAGAATATCTTGTTAAAAGTAAAGCTACATGAAATGACTGCTTAACCAAAAATAGAGCTTGCCTTACTTGACACCAAATATGTGTAAAACAAATGCTTCAGGAGAAAGTATTGCCTATTTTTTGAAAAGCTCTAAGAAACACTGTGAGAGATGTTCATAACAATGTGAGAGTTGTCTCTCTAACTCCACATTCTACCCAGTAGCCAACTTGAGAATATACTTTAAAATATTTTCCCCCAAGGAAATATTCCATACATCTTGGTTAAAAAGACTACATGTAAACACAGTGGTTATGTTTATGTGATACAAACTTCTTTTAGCATGAATACATACATTGGTGGCACAGGACAAATACAGTAAGGAAGGACAACAAACTCCAGAATGTGTTCTTATAACTGTAGCAACAGTAACAGGTCCTTGGCAAACTCAGATTTTTTTTGGGGGGGGGTGGGGTACAATCAGGGAGGATTTATGCATTTGTCATTGGTCACTTGGATACTACTGCAGAGGATTGCCTAAGACTATTTTGTTTCCTTCCACACCATTTCACCATGATTTTGCTTCCATTTTCATATTTTAACCTATTAGTGAATGAAACTCCATTGAAATCCACAAAGGAATTTACACAAAATATTTTATGCCTATATGTATCAAATTCCTACATACTATTCTGCAAGGAATGAACTTGGAAACTTTTTGAAATCTATGCTAATAGTATTTGTAAAGCACTCTTTACAAAGTTCCCACGAATTCTCTTTTGCAGCTCACATTACATATATATGCAAATGCTCTAATTACTTACACAAATAGAATGTGCTTTGCACATCTGTCATTATTGTTGTGAACGTCATTCAGATCAGGTCTCAAGGATGGGCATGCATTACCAACCTGCAATGGCCTCTGTTTGTCGCTGCTCTTAGGAGATTTCAACCCACTTGTTTGCTGCTGTAACAGGAGTTGTCTTGCTGCCTGGAGAGCCTGAAAGTAAAAAGGAGAAAATAGCTAAATATTTGTTAAAACCTGGAAGGGATTGTCAGTTGTTCCTTACTTAATATAAACAAGGGCCATCAACCTTCTTTACACCATTATTCCATTTTCTCCTGACATGTAAAAAAAAAATCACAGAATATACCTATATACATTTATTCAAAATCCTGCAGATGCATGTAATCCTGCAGGACATAAATCTAATTTGTTGAAAGTGCTTCAAGAAGAGAAAATCACAAACTGCATCAATAACCTCATTCCCACAGAACTTATCTCTGAGTGTTCCTAAAATGCCCACTCCCTTTCAAATTATCATTCAATTTGCATTTTCATATTACAATTTTGAAGCAAAGACAGTAGACTTCAAGTGTTACCGGAAGCTGTAATTAAATTTGACAAATCAACATCAGATTATCTTGAAAGTGAATTAATAAGGATTTTCACTAAGATTAAAAACACTTTTTTGTACTTACAATTCAAGGGGAAAAAAACCTCTCCTTTGACAAAATAAAGTGCAGTTTTAATGCCAAATAAAATTGAGTGGGTTTCATTTGCATTCTTAGCAAAATCAGAGAACAAAGAAATTACCACTCAACCAATCAGGTTTGTTTCTGTGTGTGACAGAATACCAATCAAAACAGAAGATGTTTTCATTTATTTTTGTGTTTTCTTACCCACTCAGAAAAAAAATAACAACATGATAAAGTAATGTATGCATGCCTTTTCCTAGAGAAGAGACAGGTTGGTAAATGGACTATATGAACTTACATAAACTAGTGCCAGAAACCAAAATACATTTCACTTTACTTAAAAGGTTAGCACTATTAAACCAATATTTTAAAGAAGTTCTTGAATGCTCTTATTTAAAAATTATTTTTTCTGAGTTCCATGAGCAGTAGAGATGCAATTTTTCAACATATAAAATTAAGTCTTGTCTGACATTGTTCTTCATTGTTTTAGAATACAAGATAATTTTTTTCCCATTTTGGAAAAAAAAGATCAATATTCTCCTATAATAATTAAGATTCTCAGCTGATAAAAAGTACAATTTTGATTGGGATCAATAACCTGGTTTTTGAGTGAGTTTCTAGTATCCATGACAACAGTTGCTTTGACAAGATGTGCATATGGCTTTACACGCCAGCTGGTGTGAACAATGTTTGAACTACTGCATTGAGATGCTGAGCAAACAGAAAAAGTTGCCACGTCTTAACCCTCAGGGAAAGCAGTCATCCCCTGATCAATTATGAAAAGACAGAGAAAGGGCTGCTACAGTCTGGCTCCAAGCAAGTTTTCTGAGAAGGCAGGCAGACACAGAAGCCAAAGTAAACAAACTGGATGCACTAGCACCCTCTGCTAACAACACTGATTTGTCTTCCCATAGCAGGACCTAGCACCCTCTGCTAACAACACTGATTTGTCTTCCCATAACAGGATCTAGCACCTTTGCAAAGCGTTGCTTTTGTATTTGGAAGCACATTTGCACAGAGTGATGATTTTTTTTTCTTTTGGGCATCTGTGAGCTTAAAAAAAAGTTTGTCAAGTCATTACAAGTCAAACTAAGTATTACTAAGGATGGCACATATCAGTGAATTCAGGCTATGTATGATACGGTTCAATATGAGGATAGACTAAACATTAATTCCATAATTATTTGTTATCATAAAATTCACTGGAAAATTTCCTCTCAATGTTTGATAATATACATTTCCTCCCTTTCAATTCTGACCTAAAAGAATAACTATGAGTGGCAACTTTCAAATTCATAAATTCTATAGTGTAGCTTGAGCTGTACTTATGTACAACTTTAAAAAACAATGAAAGCAATTACTTTCCACACATTTTTCCCTTTGAGCTCTCTACTGCACGTATATATGTACATATGTTTGTGTAAAATGTTATTGTCCTTATACCATTCTAATCAAAACTGCTTAGAATCTTGGAACAATAATGAGAATATGCAATAAAAGCAATCATAGAAATGATAAAATATGATCCCCATATTTTGACAAATGGGCAAACAATAAGTTCTAGGGTTGTCATTTGCTTTGTTTAAGGACACAAAACTATTTATGAATGCTTTGTTCAAGGTCACCTGCCTTCCAGATGAGTGTGCATTTCAGTGTCCCATACTCTTTCTATTCTGTCAAATAAATCAATCTTTAATTAACAATGAGCAAAATTCTAGGAAAAGAAAGTATCTAATACCATAATGAATTATGCTCCCTTGCAAAGATGACAACTCCATTTTTTTTCTTTTTCAGAACTTAGAAGAAAGGCGTTATAATACATTTATACTTGAATTTTCAAGTTAATATAATAAATATCACAGAAGGAAGGCTTACTTATTTATGGATAATGTCTCTTTTCTTAAATACTCCACTGAATCCTGATAGACCTTTAAACCTTTATAGTATCCTGATCACCAGGTCATCATTACTAACACAATTTCAAAATTCTAGAGTAAGACACAAATCTTAGAGCATATCAAATCTAGGTTTCTTGTTTTGCTGACAAGAACCTGAAGAATCAATTCCCCTGGCACAGGACTAACATGTTAAGGCAGTAGGAGATCCCAGTCAGTCATTTGTCTGGTTCCCAAGCTTAGGGCTCACTTACCTTGTTCACTTTATCAGCATTTCTGAAAGTATCCTTCCATCCCAACACCAACAATTAATCATTGTCCTATATGAACACCAGTGCTATAGAAAAATACTAGAGAACTAGATATACTAGAACTTTGATCATGAAAGTATGGCTAGGCAGAGGCATACACCCTCACTCCTGGTAAGGGAGTAATAATAACATTTAAAAGGGGAGCTGGTTAGAGTATGCTTCTTCAGTTTTTAATATTGCATATGTGCTTAGAGTATCTTTAAAATACTTAAGGCTCATCTTCCAATACCAGTGCTTAGGAAAAATAGGAGTCACTTGCCTGTCTCCACATTCTTTTGGGAGCAGTAACAATCGCTGTAATAAACATAAGAAGTGGGATAACAAAAAACAATCTTAAGCATCCATGCATGATTTAAACCCCATAAGCAGAAATCCCTGGCAGTTTGTATTCAAGCTGCATGCATCATATAACATTTTTATTCCCAATATTCTAGATAGTTTTTTAGGACTAAATTTCAATAAACAATTGCTCAGAGACACTTGCCTCAAATTTATAATTTATTATTGTAACTATTCAAAAACTGAAAGGTTATGAAATAAAACACTTTCATTAATATAAGGTACTGTGTCAAATTATACAAATTATTAATTTGAAAATCACTTGCTCATTATATATTGATGAATAGAAAAGAGATAAATGCCAGTTGTCCTCATGAAGTTTAAGATTTATCTAATGTCATATGCTCATCTCTCCTCTGGAATTAATTTATAACAGAAACCCAAGGGTTGTTTACAAAATTTCTTTAATAAAGGTTGACCCCTTTTTGAATGAGTAAGAGAAGAGATTGCAAAGGCACCTGGACCAAGTTTGAGTTCCAAAAGCACATTGGCTTTGGATTAAGGATGTGCATGATTTAATACAGTTATTTAATATTAGTAAAGCTAAGAGAATTAAGATAGGACATTCTCAAAAGGGAATAGGATTAAATATTTTGAGAAAAAGAATGAAAATATTTATAAATAGATTCAAGTTAAACTTTTGGTAGCAGCAAGGGTGTAAGAAACATGTTTTCTAGAATGGCGTGCATTTTGTTCTCTAAAATGTTTATTGAAAACAACAACTCTAACTATTATTGCACAATTTTAAGTAAGCTAAACTTTTGCAAACAGAGCAAAGTTCAGCCATGTCACTTGTCTCACTTGGTATTAACCTCATGTTGTGATGAGCCTCACAAAACGTAATTCTATGGAATAGGTCACTGTGAGAATTAATTTAAGGTGAAATGCTTTGTGAACTGCTAGAAAAACCTGTCAGGTTTTTTCTTTCTTTTTTCTTTCCTTTTCTTTCTATTTTCTAGAAGAACACAAAATACTGAATAGAAATAAAATTACTTGAGCACAGTTTAGAGATACCCAGAAAATCAAAATGTTGAGTATTCTAAGGTTTATAAGTGAATCTCTTTTCCTCTAAGTAAATATACATGTATATTTGGAAGAAAACAGACATCATTCATATCACTCTCCATAAAAATAGGAATGCTTAACCTATCAGCCTGTTGCATTTGAGACATTAAAATGAAAAATGACATCTACGCCCATTAATATCTTCAATGTATAAACAGCACAGCGTGACACATTCTTGAGAGCTGAAGGCTACAAAATCTCTCTGAAACATAAATAACAAAGCACTCAGAAGCATATTTGATGTTGATATTCATCTCTGAGAAAAACACTCCTGCTTAGTCTTCTTAGGAAAATAGAAACAGTCCAAATGGATCTCCTGTAATTGGTTTCAGATAGCAAGGTCAGAAGAAATACGATACAAGAACGGACTATGTGGAGCAGGCGAGGCAAGAATGTTTACACAGGCACTCCCCAGTATACTGACAAGGGTTGCAAGCTTTGCAGATAAACAGCACCCCAAAAGAAACTGCCAGCAGAGCATCCAGCTTTTCACTCATCAAACTCCCATCTTTTAATTTTTAACCCATTGTGCATTTAACATATTATTCTGAATACAGAATAATACATAAAAGAAGTCTCCAAACAGAATTTCATTTTCTGTCTATTTTCCCAACTGTAGTTGATTAGAAGTATACTTAGATTATTTATCAAAGAGTATAAATCTCTATTCTGTTTTGTCTGTCTTCCTGTTATGTTCATACTAAAGAGAATATACTGATAAATGTGATCTGAAGTCTCATAGCGCTATTTAATAGAAGAAGATTAATCATCTAATTGTCATAACCTATTTTCAAACAGCAATCTATCAGAGTGAAATTATGCATCTGTAGCTATTGACCCCTCATTTGATCATTCATGATACATAATTAGACTAAGTTTGCTTGGAAAAAAGATAATTATTAAAATATTTT